ACATCTTTAAGCACATGACTCTGGGCTCCCACCCACGCTCACACACCCACACACAGTCTGAGCGGGTGGGCAGTTGTTCCATAAGTTAATTTCGCACAAAGCTTCCAAAACTGGCATTAAAAGCTGTGATATCTCTTTATAATGATGGCATGTATGGCAGCAGCTCATTTGAACATTAATAAAATTGTATGCCGCTGACAGCATAAATGTCACCAAAGTGCTATTAAAACTAAATTATTGCCGGCATAACCATGATTCATTAGGACAAACCGAGAAAACGCCGCACAGCAATCATAAAAAATATATATGAACATATACGAAATGTGGCAATAACTCGCAAATTTGTAGCTAGCTTAAATACAAGAGAAAAAATTGTTTATTAATTTGTAATACGAAGGCGGAGCCCTGAAAAAAATGCCCGCAAAAAAATATGGCAAGGCGTGTTATGCTTTGAAAATGTGCCAAAAAAGAAGAAGAGAAAAAGACAGAAAAAAAAAACTTTACAATCGGCGAGTGCCTCGGCTTTAATACCCTTTTTATGCGCATTTCAATGGAAAACGGGGCCTGAGACAAAGAGAGACAAACTAGGTGGAGTGGGCCGGGGCGGTGTGGGGCTCCCAAATGAAATAATGGAATTAAAATGCGCCTTTTGCTTTGGCAAACTCAGTCAGTTGGACACACACAAAAATACGAAGCAATAAAAACAATAATGAAATCAAAAGAACGAGAAAACAAGGCAAAGCAGAGCGAGCGCCGGAATGGAACCAAGGAGAGAATGGGCATTGAAATGGATCGGTTTTCGGTTGGAATTATAATGAGCTTTACTTTGATATTTTGTTTTTCTCTCTCGTTCTCGTTTTTTTTTTCTCGTGTCACATTTTAAGAAGATAATGAAATTTAGCGCAGCATTGAAAATTGATGAAAATATATATTTTCTTAAGTTTTTGTTTTTATAGCAAATATGTTTGCCATAATGAGATTGTTAAAATTGTTGGTTTTTACTATAGCCCCTGAATCGCGCTCATACATTACTTAAATTCATTTACATTTGGCAAAGCCTTGCATATTAAAGTGTTTTTAATGCTTCACAAAAATATTATTAAAATGATTTATTGAAGCGTTTAAATTCGCTCGAGCTTCCAGACAGACTGTCCATCTGCTGCAAGTCAATATGTATCGATGGCAATATGGACGATGACAATATGGAGATATTGTATACAAATAACAGGTGGCATTTCCGGTTTCGTGCACCATTGGACGCACAATTTTAATGTTGCAATGCAAATTGTTGGTTTATTTATTTTACTTTTTTTTTTTCATCTCAATAAATACGAAATACAATAAGAGCGGAATATTGAGACGTTAAGGCTGCTGCTACCAAGGGGCTTAAATACGATGAATAAAAAAACGCAAGCTGGATTTCTGATGCTATAAATACCCTAGGAAGTGTGAAGTGTGAGGGGTTAATGGATGAACATTTCCTGATTACTGTTAAATAATGTAAATAAATTCTTTTAGCTTTTATTATCAGTTTCTTTGGATACTTTCTCTTCGAAATTGAGAAGCGATGAGAAGTATCTAGAATTAATGCAAAGGAATAGCAGAATAGCAGTTCTTTATATAATATAAAATATTTAGATAATTTTATATATACTTTATATTTTAAAGCATATCCTTAGCTTACCATAGAACCAGCTCTTTCCTAGTCGTCTATTCGCAACTCTGGTTATATATTTTAATTTCGCTTTGCTCTTTTCTGTCTATCGATTGCCTGCGGCTGGGCCACGCCGGGGATTTGCGACAAAACTTTCCGCTTATTTTGCTGTCTGTCTCTAGACGGGAACAACAACGTCGAGAACGCCGCCTGAACTTATGTGTGCAAATATTTATTTTAGGATTTTTATGAAGTTGGCTGAAAAGACGAAATCACAGCCAGAAACCAGAAAATCTCCGTGCTGCGTCTTGGCTAATCAAACTCAACTTGGGCAGGCTCTGTCAGCGCCGTGAGTTTATAGCCGCTGGGCTGCCTTATGCCCTGTGCTCATAATTATTGGAAAGATTCCAGCATAGAAATCAATTAATTTCTATTATTTTTACTTCCCCTTTTTAGCAACATGCGGCTAATTGAATTTTCTATAAAACAAATATGTCGATGGCTTTAAACAAAAAACACGCAACTATTGTGGACATCGCTCTTGTTATGGGCAGGCAGCGACTGGCTGTTGCCTATGCGCCTGGCTCGGACTAAATGAATTATGTAACATGTCTAGCCATTTAGTGCCATAATTCAGAGCAATCTATGCCAACGCAGACACATCAAAGCCGGACAGAACGGGCCTAGTTTAGGGCGTACGCGCGCCGCTTTTCAGCAGGAAAGGGAACCAAATTGCTCGGCAGCGAGACAAATTGCATTTGCATAGGATAATTGGAATTGCATATTGAAAAATATTTATGCCTTCAAATGGGATGCAAAAAGAGGGGAACAAAAAAACGATTGAAAACTATAATTTGTTGGCGGTTTTGTGGCTTTGCCCAGCGCAAACAGTGTGGGCTTATTTATCCACACTCGCACGAAATGAGTTTGAAAAATTGAAATCTTTTTGCATGTCGAACAAATTGGCTTAACGAGAGAGCTTAGCTCTGATTATGCATGCGATTGAAATTGCAAAAGCTAAAAGAAAAAAAGGAATTCATGGTAAATAAAAAAATGTATATATATATATTTATTTATATACTATGGTTGTATTTGGATTTCTGAAACATTTAGGTTTACTCTCTTTTAACTGTCACATTACTTTCAATTTCGGGCCTCTTCCAAAAAGAGTTTTAAAATTCCAAATATTATCAGATTGTTCATGTGTGTAGGATGCCTGTCGCCGTTCGCTTGGTGGAAGCTCTGGCCATAGTCACACTAATGGCCCTAATTACTTGCGTCTCACTCTGTGTCGTGATTGCACAGCAATCGTTGAGTCTTGCAATAACATTCATAGAGGTGCGTACGCTGCTAGTTGAGTGAAAGACACTTAGTCCTCAGACTCCATCCTCAGCCAGCTGCAAATATACTCGATGTCGTGTTGATAATGGCCGAGAAATTGTTGGTCGGCGCATTGGTATTCAGTGTTACCCTAATCAATACTGTTTGTTGTGCCTTGCATATGATTGGAATTGCTTAGGGAGGTGGCACTTGAACCTGAACAATTGTGATCTTGGGGTGACTTTTAAAACTCTTCTATCAGATCAGCACCATACTCAAGTGATGCAAAATAATAGAAATTTTCAAGACATTCCGGCATAAAAAAGTGATGCAACGAAATAAATTTTAGCAAATTTTGTACTGGAATCTCTATAACCTAAAGCACATTTATAATATGTTTATTTTATATTTGATAATATTCTATTTTTTATTTATTTATTTACTGATAAGTACCTAAAGCTGAGCGAACAACTGATGTGGCAATTTAAAAGTTCTCTGTGGCCGTTCAGCAAGCGAAACCACAGGAAAAGCCAAAGGAGCAACTACACACATACATACACATACACACATATATATAGAAAGGCACAAACACTAATATTCAATCAAACAATTTCACGCCCCAATAAATTTTTTTAACCAGCCGGCGGCTAAGCACAAAATGCGCTCAATTGCAGCAAATATGCGCTGTGGCTGAAAGGGAAAAAAGAGCACTAAAAAGCGAGCTGCA